GACAATGAAGTCATTCAAAATATGAAACCAGAATATATAGGTTTTAGAACATGGAATGAAAGTACTGTGTCATTAAGAGTTCATTATAATTTGTGTCAGAAAGTACAGGAAATAAAGCATTCAGAAAAAAGTTATACCAGTTCAGAATGTATCATCTACCATGCTATGTGCAAGAATCCTAACAGGCGTTTCTGGTTACACTTCGCTCTTCTGAACCTCATTCCTGCCTTTGACTTATCCTGTATGAACAACATCCTTCATTAGTAAACAAATGAACACACTTCTTCACTCAGCAGTTTAAGAAAGCCACTAATTCACCTGTAAGTCTCAAGGATTGATTTTGGTGGAATTATGCCTCAATTGTTTTTTTTTTTTTTTTTTTTGCCTCAATATCTCTAAAATGGGATGCTTACAATCTTATATAAAAATAAATGAATGTTGTTTAGGAGGAGACAGAATGACTCAGAAGCCTATACTGTTAGGAACCATTTATGCACGTTTTAATTGAATTATGCACTTTAATGGCGGTAAGAATTGACCACCATTGCCTGTTTTCATCAGACCTGTTGCAACCAAGTGTTACCATTCACTTTATAATTTACAATCATTAAATGACACTGTAAAGTTTTTGTAGAAAGTTAGAAAAGAATGTTAATAACAAGAGGAAAATAAAAATGAATTCCCAGTATTCGGTGTCAATAGAAGGTAGTATAAATCTTTTAAGATTTTTATAACATGTCTACATGTAAACAAATAAAATTAAGATAATATGTATTATACTTATTGCTTTTATTTTAATTACTGTAAATTTTTTCACTTAAGAAAATTGTCAGATTGTCTCTGCATTATCAAATATGCCTGGATAGCATCAGTTATAATGGGAGTATAATATGCCATTGTTTGCACAGATAGCAGTCACTGTAACTAGTCTGTCTCTTTAGGCATTTGTGTGTTCTTCAATTTTTTAAGATTATAATCAAAATTATGATGAAAATCCTTTTAAATAAATCTTTGTGCTGAAATTTATTAAGATAACTTCTTTGAGGTAAAACTGATGCTTCATAGAGCTGACATTTTTTAATTAATTTGCTGTAATCACAAGATTGCACTCCAGAAAGGATGTATTCTCCCAACCCCTGCATCCTTGACAAGTCTGGGTGATTAATCTTCATCTTAATAGGAGGTAAAATTGGTCTTGATATTGTTTAAATTAGTATACGTAGAAGGGAGCACATTTTCTTTCTTTTTGGGCCATAAGGCATTTTCTTTTATTTCATTTCCTCCTTCCTTCCTCTTTATTTATTTTTTTCTTTTTGGGTAATTTTGTCCACATAAGGATGTCTCTATCATCCTCTTTTTTTTTCGGCGAGGGTGGGGTGATCTGAGATTACAGCATTGAAACATGTATGTTATCAAGTGTGAAACAGATCACCAGCCCAGGGGCTGGTGCACTGGGAAGACCCAGAGGGATGGGATGGGGAGGGAAGTTGGAGGGGGGTTCAGGATGGGGAACACATGTAAATCCATGGCTGATTCATGTCAATGTATGGCAAAAACCACTACAATATTGTAAAGTAATTAGCCTCCAACTAATAAAAATAATTGGGGGAAAAAAAAAGTTAAACAAAGGGAAGTACAGAGAGCAAGTAAACAGAATATGCAACACCTAAAATTAACAAAGGTTTAATTTTCCTGGTGGCTCAGACAGTAAAGGAATCTGCCTTAAATATTTATTGTTTTAGATCCTTAAAATAGAGTATAAGTATATATATATATTCTTATAATATACACTGTATACATATTGTTATATAATATAAAGTTGAAATATCATTTTCTCTCTAATCCACTTAGCTCTTTCCTTCCCCAGAAGCATCCACTGTCATGACTTTGGTGGTGTATTTTCAGTCTATGTTTTCTTATTCATTTAATTAAAATTAGGGTCAGCTATTAGCCATAAAAAATTAAAAATTAAAGTGACTTAACATGAAATTAACTTCTCACTTCTGAAAAAGTCCAGGTACATAGTCCAGAGTGGGCATGACCCTCCACTCAATGATCTGTGATTCTCTTAAAAAGCTGGAAATAGAACTGCCATATGACCCAGCAATCCCACTTCTGGGCATACACACCGAGGAAACCAGATCTGAAAGAGACACGTGCACCCCAATGTTCATCGCAGCACTGTTTGTAATAGCCAGGACATGGAAGCAACCTAGATGCCCATCAGCAGACGAATGGATGAGGAAGCTGTGGTACATATACACCGTGGAATATTACTCAGCCATTAAAAAGAATTCATTTGAATCAGTTCTAATGAGATGGATGAAACTGGAGTCCATTATACAGAGTGAAGTAAGCCAGAAAGATAAAGACCAATACAGTATACTAACACATATATATGGAATTTAGAAAGATGGTAATGATAACCCTATATGCAAAACAGAAAAAGAGACTCAGATATATAGAACAGACTTGTGGACTCTGGGAGAAGGCGAGGGTGGGATGTTTCAAGAGAACAGCATCGAAACATGTATATTATCTAGGGTGAAACAGATCACCAGCCCAGGTTGGATGCATGAGACAAGTGCTCGGGCCTGGTGCACTGGGAAGACTCAGAGGGATCAGGCGGAGAGGGAGGTGGGAGGGGGGACCGGGATGGGGAATACATGTAAATCCATGGCTAATTCATTTCAATGTATGACAAAAACCACTGCAATGATGTAAAGTAATTAGCCTCCAACTAATAAAAATAAATGGAAAAAAAAATGATCTGTGATTCTTCTAGTTTATTGTCTTATATTGGGTGGCTTTGATCTCATAATTCAAAATAATGACATCCTCATTCCAGAAAGGACAGAAAAAGGTATTAAAAAGTATTAACAATTACCTACCTGTTATAAAAATTAATACTTCTTAATGAAAATTAATCAGGAAGCAACAGTTCGAACTGGACATGGAACAACAGACTGGTTCCAAATAGGAAAAGGAGTACGTCAAGACTGTATATTGTCACCCTGTTTATTTAACTTATATGCAGAGTACCTCATGAGAAACACTGGGCTGGAAGAAGCACAAGCTGGAATCAAGATTGCTGGGAGAAATATCAATAACCTCAGATATGCAGATGACACCACCCTTATGGCAAAAAGTGAAGAGGAACTAAAAAGCCTCTTGATGAAAGTGAAAGAGGAGAGTGCAAAAGTTGGCTTAAAACTCAACATTCAGAAAACTAAGATCATGGCATCTGGTCCCATCACTTCATGGGAAATAGGTGGGGAAACAGTGGAAACAGTATCAGATTTTATTTTGGGGGGCTCCAAAGTCACTGAAGATGGTGATTGCAGCCATGAAATTAAAAGACGCTTACCCCTTGGAAGGAAAGTTATGACCAACCTAGATAGCATATTAAAAAGCAGAGACGTTACTTTGCTAACAAAGGTCTGTCTGGTCAAGGCTATTGTTTTTCCAGTGGTCATGTATGGATGTGAGAGTTGGACTGTGCAGAAAGCTGATCGCCGAAAAATTGATGCTTTTGACTGTGGTGTTGGAGAAGACTCTTGAGAGTCCCTTGTACTGCAAGGAAATTCCAACCAGTCCATCTTAAAGGAAATCAGTCCTGGGTGTTCATTGGAAGGCCTGATGCTGAAGGTGAAACTCCAATACTTTGGCCACCTCATGCGAAGAGTTGACTCATTGGAAAAGATCCTAATGCTGGGAGGGACTGGGGGCAGGAGGAGAAGGGGACGACAGAGGATGAGATGGTTGGATGGCATCACTGACTCAATGGACATGAGTTTGAGTAAACTCTGGGAGTTGGTGATGGACAGGGAGACCTGGCATGCTGCGATTCATGGGGTTGCAAAGAGTCGGACATGACTGAGCGACTAAACTGAACTGAACTGAATCAGTAATAAGCTGCAATATTGCATTCAGTTGTCCCCTGGACAAACAAGAGTGCAAGGAATATTCATTTACATATCTCCTCTTCTAGGTGGGTGAGCTTGCCTGGCTTATGTACCTCGAAATGGAATTTCTGGGTCTTAGGGGATGGCTCTCCATACACAATACTATACTAGATATTGTGAAATTCTTCTCCTTATTAGGGTACTTTCAGCTTCAAATAGCAGACAATGGATTTCAAAGCGGCTTAAATAAAGAAATTTATTACCTCACATATCAAGAATTCCAGAAGTAGGGATGCTCTAGGCTTGACTTTTTCATTGATTCAGTGTCTTGCTCTCTCCTCTTGGCTGCAGAGAATCAAGTGCAGACAAAACAATGGCCAAAGTCATTGTATCTTTTTATTTACTTTGAAGAGCAGGGAAACTTCCTAAAATATCTTTCTTTCATGTCTTATTGGCTAGAACTGAATCACATGTCAATGTCTAAATTGATTACTTACAAGATAAGACCATGATGACTGGGTCGGGGAAAGGGCCAGTTATCCTCGAAGAACATTATCAGGAGGAAGGAGATACTGGCACAAAATATGCTGTTAGGACGGAAGGCGGGGATGGTGGATGACAAGTAGGCAGTAAGTAGTGTCTGCTTTATTTCTAAAGAGGCTGCTACATTCCCATCAGTAGCAAATGAGTCCTTGATTATCAGAGCTTTTGTTTGTTTTTGGGAATCTAATGAGCATGAAAAAATACTCTTTATTGTATTCCTTGGCATTTTTCTGCTTCTGGTGGGTTGCTTACCTTTCCAGACATTTATAGGCCTTCTGGGTTTTCTCTTCTGCGAAAAGCCTTATTTATGTTTTTGCCTAGTATCCTCTAGAATCATATGCGTTTTTCTTATTGATTTGTAACAGTTTCAAAAGTATATTCTGAATAATAATTGTCTCTAAAGTTGTGTTAGAAATGCTTTCTGCCAATAAATGGCTTGTCTTTTTACTTTAAATTTTTTTTTTTTTAAGGCAGATAGAGGCTTGTCTTTTATTGAATGAGTGATCTATGCAATTGCCGAGGCCACTATGTACAGAGAAGAGGGGGAGAACTTTATTTCTTGGTCCCTTCCTCCTTGGACAGAGTCTTGATGAGTTCCTCCTTCTTGGCCTGGAGCCGCTCTTCCCGGCGCTTGCGGGCTTCCTTGGTCTTAGACCTGCGGGCCTCAGCCTGGTCCCCAGAAGCTTCTTGCTAGCCTTGTCTGCCTTCAGCTCGTGGATATGTTCCATGAGAATCCGTTTGTTTTTGAACACGTTACCCTTCACCTTCAGGTACAGGCTGTGATACATGTGGCGGTCAATCTTCTTAGATTCACGGTATCGTCTGAGCAGCCGGCGCAGAATTCTCATCCTCCTCATCCAGGTTACCTTCTCAGGCATTCGAGCATTGGCAGTACCCTTTCGCTTACCTATACCCATATGCCTGCCCTTCCGGCGAGCCAAGGTGTATTTCCGGCATCGAGCCCGGGAATGGACAGTCACAGGCTTCCGGATGATTAGCCCATCTTTGATCAGCTTCCGGATCTGCTGGCGGGAGTTGGCATTGGCGATTTCATTAGTCTCATTGGGGTCCAACCAGACCTTCTTTTTGCCACAGCGAAGGACGCTGGAGGCAAGCCTCTTCTGAAGCCTGAGCATACTCATGGCCGTGGCCGCAGCGGCGAAAGGAAAACTTACTTTTAATTTAAAAAAGAAGTTTCTGTAACTTAAAGGTTTGTAATTTTTATGTCTAGTCCAAAAATTATCTTCTACGTGAAGGTCATACAAATATTATTCTATTCTTTTTCTTACTGAATGTTAAGTGACTAGCAACTTTTTGTATATGTATACTAGCAGTTTTTTAAAGTAATGTGAGTACTCTTCCTTAGAATCTGTAAGATCAAAACTGCTTTTATGATGGTATTAAATGTTGTCTTTTTCACTCTCAATATTTTATACATGTAAAGTGAAATCTCTCAGAGGCTGTATGGCCTGTAATCTCACAGCAAATTGAAAATATCAAAGCAGAGATGGGACCCAGTTGTCCCTTCTTATATTGAACATTAAAGTGATTTGTGAGACTAACAGTGATATTTTTCTGAATAAGTTTTTTTGTTTGTTTGTTGGAGATGACTTTTTTCCTCACAAGATATTTATGTAAATGTATTTGTGATTTATTCTTTAAAATATTGAATTTATAAGTATTTTTAAAAATTCCATTTTAATTTCTAATGTATTAAAGCATTGAGAAATATAATCCACATAAATGAAAGCTCTTTGGAATACTCAATAATTTTTAAGAATCTAAAGGAGTCCTGAAACCAAAAATCTGTGAAAGTTTGCTGTACGTGAACAGTAATTTTTAGTTCAGAAATTCTCTTGCCTCGTAGCTATGTATCCAAAATTAGAACATTTATTTCATTGTCCTTGGAAAATATGATTTGGAAAACAATTCTGTTCCCACATACATTGTATATTAGCTAGAGTAAAGATTAATTAACTTAAATTTTTATCACCCATCAACTGCAATCATCCATTAGCCCAATGGGTACCATAAGATAATAGAAAAAGTGTGAAATTTAGTGTCGGACTGGGGTACAACAAAATAATAGAAAGAGTGTAAATTTTGGTGTCAGACAGACCTGGCTTTGGATCTCCAGCATGGACACTGTAGCTTAGCTAGTAACCCAGTCTGTCTGAAGCTCGGGGTGGGGACGGCGTAGTCCCTCTGCTAGTGTGTCTTTGTCCTTAGGAGGGGAAGAGTGTGGCTGAGTGGAGCGCCTGGGGAAGCAGGCCCTGACTCGGCTGCACACTGCTGGGCCTTAATTAAGTCGTGCGTGCCCCCACTGCTCAGCGCTGTGGTTAAGGGCATCAGCTTCATAGTCAGATCCTTTGGTGCATAGCCCAATTCTACTTGCTCAGTTAATTAATTTGTGGGTGAATTACTTAGCCTGTGTGTGTTTTTGAATATCCTAAAATGTAAATTTGGAGTAATAGTACTCTTTATGCCATAAGGGTAATTGTGAGAATTAACTGAGTTACAATGTTTAAAACCCTTTTACAGTTTTGCCATGTACTATTAATAAATGCTTACCTTTTCAGTTATACTTGCTCTTACTATTAGCTATTAGCTGGAGTATTTCTCTGTTGCCTCATAATAAACCACCCCCAAACCATAGTGCCCTTGAAACAAAAACAATAATATATTTTGTGTACAAATCTCAGCAGTTACAGACCATCTCCGTCTACAGTGGCATTAGCTAGAGTGGCTGACCTGGGGCCTGGAGAATATACCTTCAAGTTGGATGACTCACACAGTTGATGCTGACTTCTGCTTAGAGCGCAGCCAGGGCTGTTTGCTGGGGGACCTCTGTACTCTCCAAGTTGGCCTCTTCATAGGTGTGGTGGCTGGGTTTTAGGAATGAGCATCTCAGGAGAAACACAGAGAAGTCCATCAGATTTTTATAACTTGTCCTCAGTAGTCACCTACTTATATGATTTCCATTAGTCACAAATCCATCCAGATTTAAGAGGAGGGAACACAGACACCCTCCTCTCCATGGGAGTGTCAGAGTCACAGAAGACTGTGAGGACTGGGAAATACTGTTGCAGTCATCTTCAGCAAGTACAGTTTGCCACAGTCGTAGTCTACTGATCTATGAGATAACATAATAATCTTGTCATTCTTAATCACCAGCAGAAACAGTCTCAACTGTGTGTATCAGAACTATCTTAGCATATTTTACAAAATGTAGATGGTGGGCAACTTTTCATTTCTTTTTAGTATTTTTCTCTATTTCCTGCCTTTTTTCAATATTGGGCACTTATTAATATAATAAAAAATTTAAATGAGGATTAACTATTTTGACAGTATATTGATGTATTCTCTATTCTATGAATATGGAATTTTTTAAGTTGAAATGAAAATCTGTTTTACTCCTTGTTTCTCAGTTTGGTCATACTTCTAGTGCAGTGACCTCTAGAATAAAGGAAAAGGAAGACAGGAAATGATCCTGTTCACAAATATTTCTAGGTTAAATGTTGGGTTCCTTAGGGCAAACCTCGGTCACCAAATATAGCCCATAAAGCCATGAAATGTGGTTCTCACTGCCTTATCCTTAGAACTGCAGGTTGCAGACCAATGATGAACTGCTGGTGAACTTGGGCAGAGAGCAATTTCTATTCACCTGTCAGGAAATTCATACACACAGTAAATATGTGAGTACATTTGATAATGATAAGATTCACACAAATGAATGTGTAAATAAGGTGGCACTCTTGAGATTTTGGGAAGTGGCCAAAAGTTTTATCCCCCGCTAAAACTTTGTATCTGCCTGTGATCTCACACAAAACCATCTCTTTGACTTAAATGCGTCTTATTCTAAAAGATGCCAGGAATAGTTCTTTGAAACATCCAGCTTCTTTTTGCTGCTGTAATATACTTTTCCCTTCAAATGGCAAAATTATTCATTTTAAAAAGCAAAGACCATTTCAGGTTTGAGGTGAAAGCAGAGTGAAATATGGAGGTAAAGGATCAGTTTCAAAGAAGAACAGTTCTTTTTAACACTTTAGTCTACTTTGAAGTAGCAGGTGTTGTTACGTATACAGGGAATAGTAAAATACTCAGAAATAAAGAGCATACTGAATGTCACTATGAGGACTTAAAAGGAGTTCATGCGACTTCTTGAGTAGATTAATTTACTCCTGGGGATAGTTTACAAGATAGTTGATTTTTGACTCAGTATAGTTTTCATTTATTGAGCACATATTATGTTCCGAGCCCTCTCATGTGCACTTTACTTACTGATATTAATTCCTTCAATTCTCTCAACACCCCTGTGATGTAGTTAGTACCATTATCCCTGTTTATAGCCTAGAACAAAATAGTTAAAAACTTGCCCAAGATCACAAAGTACAACAATCAGGCTTCATATCCAGGTTGACTAGCTCTAGTATCCAGGGTTTTATGTGCTTCTTATTGTGTTGCAGATGAGTTTTGGTTTTGTTTGTTTGTTAAATTATAGTACTTGGAAATTTTGCATTAGGTGATTTTAATTTTGGAATAGTTGCTTGAAAATTTTGGACTAGGTCAAGAGAATATAGTAGGGTTAGGGATTCTTTCAGAGTTCACATATGAAAACCAAGGGCAAGGCAGATGACAGAAAGGAAGATGAGGCAGTAAATTATTACATTTCAGGCTCATTGCTCGACTTTCTTTGCATCTAGAAGTCAGGTCTAATGTTTTTAGAATCTGGGACAAGGTTTGAGACCCTATGCTGCTATTTGTAATAAGAATTTGAGTGAGTTACTTCATCTCTTCTGGGAATGTTAACAGCTGTCCCACCAGCCTCAGGGAGTTGTTGGAGAGAGCAAATGAATGAATTATCATGGTTACAAATCCAGTCGCAAAATATAAAGTCCGTGTTAGTTATTATTATAATTAAGAACAATTAAGCATTGTTAAGCAACATTTTTTTTATACCTACCTACATTTCAGAAATATCTGTTTTGAAAATCACATTTTATAGTTTGTCCTTTGATGTGATACAAGGTATATCAACTGTTTAGAATGATGCTTAGCTTATGATCACATTCAATAGAATCTACTAGTTATTTGTCAATTTCTAGCAGATGTCTTCAGTTTGAGAAAGCAATAAAAGGACAATATCTCCTTCTCTTCAGACAGAAGCTGCCAAACTAAGAGCTGAAACATGGGGCTAAGAAGACTTTCCTAGTTGGGAGGGGCTGTGTGCTACTGAGGAGACTTAGAAATTGAATTCACATCTTCAGTGTTCAGTGATAATAATCCCTCTCATTTATATTATCTTATTTATGTACTCATGTGCCAAGGCTGATCTGTTCATAGTGGCCCTCTGAGTACTGTTAAGTATTCCAAGGTCACATCCAGGTTGATAAGATAGAGCATTATGATCTCTGCCTCCAGTGTTTGCCATCCTTAGACAATCCTTTGAAGTTTCTGAGATACTTTTGATTCTACTTCTTAATCATGCCATTGCTGCAGTCGGGGTTATCAGTATTCTTCCATAACACAGGAGACAGACTGTGTCCCCCTTTCTCTATCTCTGTATTTTTCCCACTAGAGCATATGGTCATGGCTTTGTGAAGCCCTTCACAGGTCTCAGCCCTTTTCTTGAAGTCTAGCATGGATCTGGACACATAACAGATTATCCATATAGTTTTGCTGAATTAAATTTTAGTGATTTCAGTCCTAACTGAATGATTGAGAATAGAGCCTTAAATGATTAAGGTTTTTAATCTTAATCATTATTCTTAAATGATTAAGAGTAAAACCTTAAACCTAAAAATGGAGCTGTTAGCACTTTGCTCATTTTTCCTAAATACCAGCCTTTGCAGTTTCTGTAAAGCATGTCACTCCCGTAGGTGGAAAGCATGCGTGTGTGTGTTCAGCCACCGCAGTCATGTCCAGTTCTTTGTGACCCCAGGACTGTAGCCCAACAGACCCCTCTGCCCATGGGCTTCCAGGCAAGAATGCTGGAGTGTGTTGCCACGCCCTCCTCCAGGCTATGTCCCTGACCCAGGGATCAAACCTGCATCTCCTGCATTGCAGGCAGCTTCTGCACTGCTGAGCCACCAGGGAAACCTGGCTGAAAGGATGAACAGGCTAATGTAACTGCCGGGTGTGG